CCCCCCCCACACCCACATCAGCCCTGGGCCTGGCCCAGGCCTGTGGCCCATGGGTGCATTGAGGACGCTTGGTGGCAGCCAGGAATGTTAATGGTGCCAGGCTGTGCATGAACTAAATTTAGAAACCCAAACCAAGAAGGTGAATGGTGCTCACCTTCCAGGCAGCAGGCCCAGTCACCGCTGCAGCCATGGCCCTTCTTCTAGCCAGGGACCTGGTGTGCCCCCTAATTCTGCCCTGTGCTCCCCTCTCCTGACTCATGCTAGTGAGAGGAACTCTGGGGGGCTATCCCTGGCCTCAGCCTTCTTACAAGGGAGAGCGCTCAGGCCCTGCCCTGCCTCCCATCCCCAGGCACAAGGACCCCAGGGAGCCCCCAGACAGTGAGGGACACAGCCTGGGCAGGACTGGGCATAGGCCCTCTCCCCGCCCCTGTGGCTCACGTCACTGGCTGCTGCCAACCTTGCCCTACAGGATGCCACCCCCACCATCTGGGGGCAGTGACGTGGCCAGTGTGACGTAGCCAGTGTGATGTGGCCAGGCGCCTGAGAGCCATCTGTCTGTGGCAGAGGGAGATATGTTTCTGGGAGCCTGGCCAGAGCCCCAGGAAGACAGGAGGACAAGAGAGGCCCCATCCCTGGGGTCGGGGATGCGGTGCAGGTCAAGGGAGTGGGGCAGGTCTTAGGGCCCATCGAGGCCCAGGAGCTGCCCACCAGAGTAGGTATTGGTGAAGCTGGCACCCTACAGTTGTGATACCCTTACACCTTGGCCCCTGACCTTGTTGCCAAGGCTGGGCTCCAGTCTACTCCCCTTCCTCAGGGGGTGTACTCCCCTTCCCGAGGGGGAGCCCGTTCTGGGGAGGCAGGGAGGGTACAGCCCTATGTCCCGGGAGTGACGTGGTGCTATCTCCCTAGGGCAAGCGCTACAAGAATTCCTTGGAGACGGTGGGCACGCCAGACTCAGGGCGTGGGCGCAGTGAGAAGAAGGCCATCAAGTAGGTGCCAGCCTTGGAGTTTGGGATGGGGGTATGCAGGCAGCCCAGGTGGGAGGAGCCCCTGCCCCTCCCTAGATCTGCCACACACACATCAGTCCCCCTCACACCCTTGTGCCAAGGTCTCTTCCCACCCCACACACTCCCTGCACCTCAGGGGGGCTCCAGGGCTCCACCTTCTCTGCCTGTGCCCCCCAGACCCTCACAATGTTCCAGAGCCCCCAGCCCCATTTCCTGGCTGCTCTCCCAGCACCATTTCCTCCACCCTCAACCCTGGTTCCTTCATCCAACCCTCATATCACACACACCATGTCCAACCCCTGCCCAGCTTCCCTGCTCTTTCCTTGGGGCCCCATCAGTGTTCTTGGGGTGACCTGGAGGGGTGCAGCCCAGTGCTAGGCTGCTCAGGGGAAGCTGGTAATGGGGAAACTCTCCCCTCCCCCTTCACCCCCATTTCCACCAAATGTCTTGCTGCCTGTGACTCTCCTCAGTTTCCCCATTTTGCTCTGAGAAGCCTTTCAAGTAAGCAAGTCTGCCTTCCACTGTGGACCACCTGGGCCAGCCCACTGCTAAGGGTCACTGGGAGACCCCAGGAGAAGCCCCCCTGCCCCATCTGGTTGGGGGCTCTGTGCCCTCTGCCCAGTGGTCCTGGTCCCTTCCTCAGGCCTTCACTGGGAGGCTGTCAGGCCGAGGTAGGGCTGAGGGCCCCTCCATCTCAGCTGGCCAGCTAAGGGGCAAGCCGCCCCCAGCCTGCCCTGCCCTGCCCCCCTTTTTCCTTCCCTTCTGCCCCCTTCCCCCTGTCTAGTCCCCCCTGCCCTTCCTTTTTTGGTCTTTCTCCCTTTCTCTCTTCTTCTTTTCCTTCTTCCTTTCCCCTGCTCCTGAGGGCTCCCTTCTCTGCCTCTCCTTGCCCCCTCCTCTCTTTTCATCTCTTGCTCTGACCCTGTTTGGGGCCTTCACAGAAGCTGTGGGTGTGTGTCGGTGGGGGGCGGGTTAGTGGAGGGGATGGGCCAGGCCAAGGCTGGAGGTGGGGAGACCATGGGAAGCCTTTGAAGCTGGGTTCTGCTGCACACTCTGTCTTCAAAGCCAGAGCTGGCAGGTCTTGGGGGCGGTTGCAGAGCCCAGGCTCCAGGCTTTCTGAAGGCAGAGAAACCATGTGGGGAGCACACGGAGCCAGCTCAGCACCTGTGCTACCTTCAGGCCAGGCCCCTGAGTGTGCTGCCATGGTCTGGGCCAGGGGACCTGTGTCTGCCAGGTGACCATAACTTCTTGGATAGGGGAGTGTGTGGCAGGATCAGAAGTCCTGGAAAGAGCCCACGAGAGGAGATGGATTCCCCACAAGGGGGATGGGTGGGCAGCATGGCGGGCAACGGGCCAGCACCCATGAGGGCTCTCTAAGGCAAAGGAGGGCAACAGTGGGCTGTCCTCTGCCTGCAGCCCATGCCCCCCACCCTGCTAGTTGTCAGACCCTCAGCCCCAGGGAAAGGAAGCCACCATTCCTTCTACATGCCCACAGGTCACTAGACCTTTGCCTCTTGCCAAGGCCCAAAGCCAGGGGAGTGGCAGAAACAGGATTTACCCACTGCACAGTCTCCCCAGGGCTTAGACCTCCTTTAAAGGGATGGGCTTGTCAAAAGTTCTGGGAAGATGTATTCTTTAGCAGTGCTCTCCAAACTGTGTTCCTCAGAGCACTCGTGTCCCATAAATGATTAATAGTTATTCCACAAATCAAGGGTTCCGTGGCCAACTAAGTTTGGGAAACACTTCACACTGTATTCATTGGCACCTTAAAGGCTCTGAGAAGTCCTGCATTAAAGGAACCAGTGTTTCACAAACTTATTTAAAGATCCTCTTTTCCGATACTACAGCAGACATCCTGAGGGACCTTGGAGCTCCTTGGAACACAGGGTGGGAGAACAGCCTGGCAGCTATGACCCTGGGTGGATCTTTCTCTCCAGAACCTAGGGTTGGATGGCCCTTCATTCGGGAGATTTTAAGGGGGCAAGGAGAGGGAGGTCTTCCAACTGCTCCATCTCCCTGTTACACTCGGGAAGGGGGGCCAAAGGACGTCTCTGGTGAGAATAGCATCTTCTGTCCAGAGACCCTCCCCAGGGAGGGGCCTCCTGCTGCTGAGGGCCTGTGCTGCCTCTCCACCCTTGGCCTCCACTACCCGTGAGCTGGCTCAGGGCTGTTTTTGAACCCTGGTCACAGAGTCCCTGTGAGATGTTTCTAAGGTGTACTATGGACAGAGACTCTGTCCACACCAGGGATGCCCAAAGGGGCCTGTGGTAGCAGCTTAGCTTTTCTCTGTCTGTCCTTAGTTTCCCAAAGTCTGAGGTTGAGAACTGAGGTCAAGGTCAAGCTTGTCTTTGGCTCTAGGGGTTTCCAGACCACGCATTTTGGCAGCTGAGGCTTCTGCCACCTCCTCCAATGGAAGTGCCCACATTCTCGCATGTCTGCTTCCATAAGACATACCATGGAGCAGGAGGGGGTGGGGGGACTGGGACAGAGGCTCCCTTCCAGGCTGAGGAGCTCTACCTTGGAAAGGAGCACCAGCCCAGGGAGAGGCTGCCCTGCCAGGTACATGCCAAGGGCCTGAGGTTGAATCTGCCCATTGTCCCTCAGGGAAGAGCAGGCTCCCTTCACACAGGCCCCAGCACAGAGGACCTGAATGGCCCCTGTCACGCCCAGGTCAGAGGCCTGGAGATTCTTCCCTATTCTGGGGGTGACCCAACCACCACATTTGCAATGAGCAGAGAGGGTCTCCAGCTCAGCTGAGATCCCGCGCATCTCATGTAAAGGCTGCATCCCAGCCTTTGCCAAGGAGGGAGAGGGCAGAGGAGGCTGGGGGACCTCAGGCCAGTGGGAGGAGGAGGAAGGAAGGCATCCGGGAGCTGGGCCTGCCCTTGGAGCGGCTCAGTGGGGGTAGGTGGAAGAAGGGAGAACCTTGAGCTCCAGAACTGGGGCCTCCACCCAACCTCGGGCTCCAGAACTGGGGCCTCCGCCCCACCATGGCAGTTACGGCCAACCTCCTGGTTTGACAGGCAGGGAGACTGAGGCCAGAGGAGATGGGCGCAGGGAGTTGGCAGCAGGGTCTGATCTGCATTTCAGCTCTTCTCAGCCAGAAGCCAGCACCCTCTCCTCCTCCCACTCCCCACTGCATCCCCCCCTCCCGCCTTCTCCCCAGCCCCTTTCCCCTCTCCCCTCCTCTCT